AACGCAACATGGAAACCCCTGGTATTGATCGTCAAAAACTCTTAGAGAGTTTCAACAAGTCAAAAATATTGGCGAGCAAGATATCTTTCGTATGTATATTTTTTCTGTTATTTGAAATTTGTCTATCATTTACTGTCTTTGAAGATTCAAGCTCCGAAACCTCTTCGTCAAGATCATTCGTTGGTCATCGCTTACAATAAACTGAGAAATAATGTGACATCGGAAGAAATTTGTCCGATTCACAAAAAAAAGTTCAGGACTTATCAAAATATGTTCAATCATTTGAGATCAGATCATCCGTAAGTTTTTTACATCAATCATGAAATCGATTCAAACATTTTCTCAGGGATGTTTACGTTGGAAACGAAGCGGAACCCTCGCCGGTCTTGGAATCGGACAATTCACCGTTGAACATTATGGATACCGGAATACCTGTTATTGAAGAAGACGATAATATTGAAGAAGATAATTCTGATGATGATGATGCTCCACAAATTTCCATCATTACAATCTCATCTGATGAAGAAGAAGATTCTCCTATTGATTATAGTGCCCATGAAATTGAGGCCAGTTCATTTTTTGACAATCTACCGAACGTTTTGAATGAAGACCAGCTGCTATTATTTGATCGATTTGCCAAAGATCTTATTCGTTGCGCTGCGAATGGCACTAAAATATCGGATATCGCTTATATGACGGAGGCAAATTGCCGTACTAATCCTAATCCCGAAGATAAACAAATGAACGATGCTAAAATACAATTTGCGAGGTCGATGTATCTTCAACGAAAATTTATTAAGCGGGACAGTCGTTTCATTGAACCAACCGAAAGATGTGTAACATCTAAAGGTAAATTTAATATAAAATTTCTGATTATAATTAATTTTTCTCATTCTTATTTTTGTGTGATATAGATGGGATTGTATTTAAATACTATTACATCCCAATAGGTAAGATATTGATCAACTTCATCGTTGATCAAACCATTATCAACAATGTCAACAACGAGAAGTTGGAATCAGTCTCACCATATGTACGTGCGAGCGGAATGGTCAATACTCTGCGATTGATCATATATGGTGATGACTTTGGATTCGCGAATCCGATCGGGGTTTCCAGGCGAAACCAAAAAATGTTCTCGGTATACCTCGACATCGATAATCTGGCTCATTATCATACGAAAGTCCATGATCTCCCACTCGTTTTAATTGCGAATCGGATGGCGATCAAAGAGTGCTCAATGGATTCGGTTCTGGCACCATTAGTTGAGGATTTAAAGTCACTTGAAGTATGTGTTGTCTTTGTTATGAATAATGCAAATGTTACCAAAATTTTTTCATTTATAGACCAAGGGATTGAAAATCCCCAACAGCGATATAATTCTTAATGTCCGACTGGGTTATATCGTTGGTGATAATTTAGGGGTGGCCGAATTACTTGGCTTCAAACAAACGTTTGGCCGGTATTTCATCTGCCGGTGAGTATAATTCAATGGATGATTTTCAAATGATTAATTTTTTTCCTTAAGATATTGTTCGGCAACAGATTCGGACTTGAAATCTGGATCCCTTCCTCCTAAAAGGGAGTTGAATATCCATAAATCGATGTAAATATATGGATGACATTTAAATTCAAGATTTTTTCTAATTATTCTTTTGGTTTTCTAGTTCATATTCCGAGGCATCAATCCAACCTGATTTTGGAATTTTGAAAACAGGTGCCTTTTCCGTTCTGAAGTGCAACATGTTCGGTTTGGCACCACCGGACTTTTTCCACGATGTGCCAGAGGGAATATTGACTTTGATTTCCCCTTTAATTCTCAGCCAAATAACAACAAATGGAACGAAATTGAAAAAAGGGGAATTGACAAACAAAATCAGGAAGATAAAGTGGGTCAATTACCCGGTCGGTATTGAAACAAATTTCAACATTCTTGGCAAGGCGATCCAGGTACGTTCATTGATGATACAAAAGTTTTTATTCTAATCAATTGCAGAAATTCGAGTTTTTTTATCGTCTTGTTGAGATGTTCCCGATAATGATGATTAGCCAGCAAGATATTGCGGTCACATATCGGAATGTCCGGCGGATGATCTTTCATTTCTGCTCGCAGTCTCTTCCAGACAGCATGGAAATTTTGGAAAAGAGCGTATCGGATTTCGTACAAGCAAGTATCCATATTTTTTTGACCACATATTAAATTTTTTTTAAATTTTTTTAGTATTGCTGGGACCACAATATAAGAACACCGAAGGTCCATTTCATATCCCATTATCCTCGAATGCTCCAATATTATGGCCAATTAGCGAGCTTCGACACATCAAGATTTGAACGTATCCATGCTGTCATTAAACAGCATTACAAACATGGGAAAAACTTCAAGAATATTGCATTTTCGTTGGCTCAACTACATCAAGAATCAATTTTCATTCGAAAATTTTGGTTTCCTGGTAAGTGAGAAGAAACTCTAAAAAAAATTTTTACTAAATTTGTTTACAGAGAGAGAGTACCGAACCACCTCAAGATTGTATCGATTTACCCTAAAAAATGGCACCCGTTTCCGCTTGGTTATGGAATAATGAAGGGCCATTATCGCCGAAGATTTCAAATTCGTATTGGCAACTGGATTTTCAACAAAACATGGGGTATTGTACGTAAATGGTTTAATTTATCGAGCTGAAACCAATTCTGGCGAGTTTCTTTGGGCCAAGGCAACTCAAGATGGCCCACGAGAAATCCCCATGAATGAATTATCTCATCATAATTCATTCTTATTTTGGCATAATGGGGAATCATGGATAAATTACATCATCAAAAAGTGAAACGCTTATTCGCGTTTCCTTCGTTTCATCAACAGACGAAAAAAAGGGAAGTTAAAAAATAATAAATTTAAGAACTTTTCTAATGATTCTTTCTTTTTTCCTAACTTGGTCCAAACCTTGGCCAGGCTGTGTTGTTGAAGTCGTCTGGTCAATGCGTTGGACCTTTGGATTCATCTGATGAAACAACGAATTAACCAATGAAAGGTGATCCAAAGGTTCAATGTTTTCGGCCAGACTTGCTCATTTAACAGCCTGAATACAAGAATGAACGCATGATTTTTTAAAATTCTACTGGTGATTCTTAAATCGTTTCGGTAATTATTAATTTTCTTGATAAAATTGAAGCTAATCATTTCCCATATTTTGTTTCATATCAAGATAGATATTAACCGATGGATGGATTATCAAGAGGAATGAAAATCATCAACTTTGACGAATTAAGCCGATAATTTAACGATTTTATCACGTAATTTGAAAATGGATTTTTCTAATGTCCGTTCTGGTCTTAACATCGTTTCTGTTTGATATTTTTATTATTTTGTTTATTATCTTATGTAATTTCTTTTCCAAATTTTAATGATTAAAATTTGTTTTATCAAGATTATTTCATTACTTTATTTTAAAAAATGAATAAATTTAAAAATGTATCCATTTGGATCGCAGCATTTGAAAAATGTAACAGACTATATGAAGGGTTAAAAAAATTGGCGGATTCGAAGGACCGTTGTTACTTTGAGTTCGATTAAGTGCGAATGTAAACGGTGCTCATTGATTTTCGATTTTCGAGTGAAAATATTGAAATAAGTTATCTTAAAATCAAAAATAAAGAAATAAATCAAGAATTTTGACGTTTCAATAACAGAATTAATATATTTCTGGATGTTCAACCAAACTTTTATAATAAAATGGTAATTCATGGCGACATTTATCTTCATTTATTTTCGTTTGTGGCAATTGAAAGATTCAAAAATTTTGATCACATTCATGATTTCAAGTTAAGTAACAACAAAATTTATGTGAATTTCAGTTTAATTTTTCATTTCTAAAGATTTTATCTGATTAATTTCTCGACATTGCCGATCATCCATGGATCATTCCCAATTAATAAACGGTAAATGAGTTCTAAACATTTTCGACAACATTGATTCTAATTCTTGTTTGCATTTTCATGTCCCGACCTGATGATAACTCGACATTGCCGATCATCCATGGATCATTCCCAATTAATAAACGGTAAATGAGTTCTAAACATTTTCGACAACATTGATTCTAATTCTTGTTTGCATTTTCATGTCCCGACCTGATGATAACTC